CACGTCGGGTTCTCACCGGACCAGGCTCTCTCTCACATCACCAAGCGCGAAGCGCCGTGAGGTATTAGGCGAATCGCATTAAGGGTGCGCTGCATCCTGCTAAGGGTGTTCGGCATCTTGTGCTTACTTCCTTGCGTGCGGATGACAGCTGCGTATGACGTAATTTATTTTCTGGTGCTTTTACTTCCTGAGACAGTTGTATCCACCGTGTAGGTGGGTGGGAGACACCAAAGCATTACTAAAAACAATCCCGGTTCGCGTTGTTGTGGGGACGCCACCGGCGAAAGGTGAGAGAGAGGTGGACGAAGAGAGAAGAGAGAAGTCGAGGCATTTACCGAGGGTAAACACTCCCCTCCCCCTTGTGCCTCTGACCCACCGAAAGCTGTTGGCAATGTAATGCAACAAACATGACGAACAGTGACACCGGATACACTGACGACATGCATAGTGTTGATAGAACTAATGTACTCTTGCTGCAATCTCACTGAGCAAGAAACATCCGTAGTCGCCCTTCGCGAACTACCATTTTTTTTTTTCTCCCATCATCGGATTCTGTCGTGAGACGTAACCAGAAACGGGTATACCCGGGTACTTTATCACCACTTTCGGGTACACTTAGAAATCAACGCGCCGGCACCCCCAGGTACCCCCAGGTAGCCACCGGCATCTCCAGACCGTCTGGTGTCACCGGTGTTGGTTACTGGTGTACCCGGAAGTGGTCAATTTTGTACCCAGAAATGGTCACATTTTCCTGGCGCCCGACAATACTAAAACCCGCAGGATAACCCGTGTACCGCACATACCCGCACGATACACCATGTACCGCACATACACCACACACAGCAGGGTGGTACCAATCTTCGACAGCCTCCTCCGTAGATCGCGGCGAAAAACCAACCGCCGTGTGCCGTGTGCCCGCCCCCGGAGGCAGTTCCTCACCACTTACAGCACTTCTCACCCACGCACCACACGGTTATCATGCTGGAGAAGGGCAAACAATACAAAGACGCGAAAGCCTTGAAGGTACATGTGGCGGCCCTGTTCGCGGGAGCTGGCCGTAGCTTTCATTCCGGTAACGGAGGCGGCAGACAAAAGAAGCATATCTGCAATGGCGCCAAAGGAAGATGTCTGGCTGAAGTGCGCGCCTGCAAGCAGAGGTCGGGAGAGTTCAAGGTGACGTTCATCATCCCGGACCACAATGACTGCTCTGGCGGCAAGGTCGGAGCGAGATCGGCTGCGCTCGAGGGTTTCGCCAGTGCTGCCATGGTCAGCAACCCGACCGTGAAGGGCACGGACCTGAAAAGGAGCCTAGAGCAGCAGACCGGGCTCAAAGTCAGCTACAGCGCGGCGTCACGCCTGAAGGTCGCGGCTACAAGGGCGTCGAAGGAGCAACTGGAGCACGGGTACCGCATCATGACCTCTTACTGCAAGGAACTGGTGAAGGACTGCCCGGGATCGATTGCGGTGGTGCAGGTGGGTGGGTTATCAGTTCTCAGCGGTGGTTGAATTTCGTGGGTAGGAATGGCTTAGATGATTGGTGAGGAATGGTGTCTGCTGTGTGTAGAGTGCACCCCCGACGTTAGCTGTACCCCACCGTCCACAAGTACTCACGTAAACGTGGCTCTAAATCTGCGATTCCGTTGAAGAAGCCGGAGCTCTGGTTGACATGGCGGTGGCAGCGCCACAAAAATGGATGGCTAATGATGCCTCTTGATGCAAAGAAAGGATGGACAAATAGGCGGGAAAAGTTGGGTTGATTTGAATTTATTTGAATTTGACCAAAACCATATCTTGTTTTGTGTTAAGGGAGTGTTCGACGTCTATTTTGTAGGGACAATATTTCAATATTTTTAAATGTGTTTGAAATTTGAAATCGAACTGATCCCATCCCCCTCCCCCCCTTCGATGTGTTTCGCCGTCCCCTGCGCTCCTCTGTACTGCTGTGTCAGAGGGAGACTACCGGCAGGTTCCGTAGTCTTTTCTTCATGCTCGGGCGTGCTGCGTACGCTGCGGTGCGAAGCCCGATCAAGGTGTGTGTCACGCAAAGTTGGGACTGGCCCGTTCCATTTTTAATCGGAACACACGATGTGCACGGCGCATGTTGTAACCCATTGGAGTATTTAGTTGTAACACCACGTAGACGACGTTGAATGCAGTCTACCCCTGTGTCGAGTGTGTCACTTGCGCGCCCGGAGATGTGTTCACGAGGATGTGGGCAACCGCCTGGGGTATACATGGTGGACGAGCGCACTGGCCCCCCATGATTCCTCTTGTACCTAGTTTAGGGGAGGGGGAGGTGTACTCATGTAAACGCATGCCGTAGTCGTTAGACCTTTGTCCTCGCATCCGTAGAATGCCGGACGGAGCACGCCGGGTTCTCACCGACCGGACCAGGCTCTCACATGACCAAGCGCGAAGCGCCGTGAGGTATTCGGCGAGTCGCATGCAGGATGCGGATGCGATGCATCCTGCTAAGGGTGTCCGGCATCGTGGGCTTGCTTCCTTGCAGCATATGGATGACAGCTGGAAATGACTCGATAATTTATTTTCTGGTGTATTCACTTGCTCTTTTCACTTCCAGAGACAGTTGGAGCACTGCGTAAACTGCCTCGAAGGTGCTCACCCAATTTAACACAACGTTGGTGTGATCATCCCGTTTGCGCGGAGTGAGGGTTCTGTTCAGTGACACAAAAAAAACGAAGGCAAAAACAAAAAAGCGGTTACCTGCTTGTCGACCCCAACGATGCGATCGGCTTGTTTCACAATGCGTTGCCAAGCGACGAAAACCCAACCCGGGGTAGGGAGGTATAGTAAAGAGATGAAAACGATAAAGGGATCGACCCCCACCATCTTTGTTGCCCTGCTATTTGCGTGGTGCCCGCTTTCCACTCCCAACAACATTGCCGGCCTCGATGGAGATCGGCGTCTTGCTGGTGGCATCTATGTCTCGAAGACCTGAGTTGTTTTCCTTCCGCGCCGGGTGAGACCGGTCGATGCCCCCACGCCAACGCTCAAGCTTTTTGTACATCCCTTTTTGCCTGTGCAAACATGTTGCCATTCCTTCGAAAGAGATCGACTGGAAGAACTTCGAAGATCGTCCGTCGTGTGAACACCTTTATGTTGCCCCTGCCCTTCTTGCAGAGCGACGTTATGCATGCATGTCGCCCATGGCATTGATTTGGCGTTTTGACGAAACTGCCTTGACGCTTTCCCTCCCTCTTTACTCTAAAAAAAACGTCCTCAGGTCGTGGGAATGGATGGGGCACACCTCAAGGGAAAGTGGAACGGTCAGATGCTGACGTTGACGTGCAAGGACGCCAACAACGAGAACATCCACGTCGCGACGGCGATCGGACCGGTCGAGAACACCGACCTCTACAAAACTTTGATGAGAGGTTGCAAGAAGAACCCGAAAATGAGGGACTTTCTGGAAGACTCCAAGACAACCTTCTACACCGACCAGCACAAGGGGGGGAAATGTGCGTT